TTGGGCACAGTGTAGAAAAATAATTATGTGCTGCTCCGTACTTTATTCCCTTTGGTAGATTTTTATTGGTTTCAGTGCAGTTAGTGCACTGCGGGCTGTCGTTCTGATTTAGGCAGTCTTTGTACATATGTCTGTTCGTGCAGTGACTGCACAGCTTCTGCGAATCGCAGTCAGCTGCCTTGTGACCATACGCAGTACACTTGTAGCACCTTAAAACCGGTATATATTCATCCACTATTAGTGTGCCCCACTCACAGCATATCTTTTTAATATTGATTAAAGTATTCTGCACTGTCAGCGATAGGCTGGCTATGACATGTCTACAATCATCTGCTTTTTTAGAGTCAATGGCACTAGTGATCTTCGCTTCCTTACAAAAACTCTCCAGTGTGAATTTCTCATTAATTCTGACGATTTCCTCATACAGTTTTCTTAGAAACTCATTCTTATCCTCATCTTTAGCGACATTTAGCACTATAACCGTTGTGTTCCTTTTCCGTGGTTTGGGGATTCTTACTTTTTCATTTACATCTGGAAGAGTTTCTATTGCTTCTTTCAGATTATAAGCTAATGCTACAGTTATCATAATAGATGTGCTATTTCCTTTTTTTTACCTATTCTAGTGACTTCGGCGTAGCTGAGAACAATAGATGACTTCTGGCTGCGTAGGGCGAGAACTATTCTGAATGAATTGTTGGCAGCCGCATGCGTGTTTAGTTCTGCCTGCTTAACTTTTTTCCCGTTCTTAGTCGTTACCGAGCCATGTGAGTTGGCCAGTATCGTTTTCAAAATGATCTCCTATTCGTTGGAAGTCGTTTCCAAAATAGATTTTTTCGGGTAGTCTGTCGTTGAAATATACATAACTACAGGGGCGTTCCGTGACATTTGATGATAGGGAAGCTGTGTTTCTGTAAGAAGCCGAAATCCAGGGGAAATCAGTCAATTGCGCGTCAGTGACAGTCTAGGGTCCATTCGCATCGTTTATTCGATAAGCCAGTAAAAAGTGTAGACTTCTCTAGATGCATTTTTAATATCACAATTACATTCCGAATCGCTAGCCACGATATAAGGGCTACAATTAAAAATAAAATAATAAAAACTTACTCGGTGAAATAAAGTATGTGGTGGATGTGGTACATACAAAATATTCTTCAATTATATGAATATACTTTTAAAAAAAGTTATAATTAAATATAGCTTTGCAAAGAAACGTACATAAAAAATATAAAATATTCTATATTTTTTAATTTGTAAAACAATGCACTTAGTCAAATAGATCCCTACGAGTGGCTAATGAATGGAATCAAAGACGGTTGCAGAGCGCGCATACACGCGGACTGCCAAATCCCCAGGGTGCCGATACCGGTCAATGTAAATACCACTTTTGTCGCATCATTAGTATATCTTAAAGGACGCAACAGGGCTGTTGTAGATTTTGAAACGTTTTTCACCATAGCTGTAAAAATCTAAATATGTTAAACTTAATAGTCATTTGTTTTCTAATTAATTCGTTTTAGGACTAGGTGTCGTCCACGGAAATTTCCAAAATTTACAACTTTTCGGTCACTCTCGTCGAACTGGAAAAATTTCTGTCTTTATTACATCTAATACAGAATTTCGATGAAATCAGTCCCCACTGTACTCGGCTATAAATTGGTTCGTTTAAGCTTTTGTTGAAGTAATATTCCAGCTCTTTCATCAAGGTTTTGTTTACGTCCCCAATTCCCTAATCGCTTAATTATTTAACTACTTCTTAAGTAAAAATATATCGAAACCGGTTACTTTGTACTCGAATATTTGTTGTCTCGGGAAAAAAGCGGAAAAACAAATTTTTATGACAAACGGATACATAAATCGTAAATTTAAGGAAAATAAATTCTACAGCTTTTTCTGTACCTGGTGCATCTCTCTCATTCATTAAATTTAGTTGTAAATGACACTGTCGAAGGAACGGTTAATTTTTTAAAATTATACAAGAAATGTACACGTTATTTTTTACATCCCCTTAAAGATGGGATATACGGAATCGTAATATCACTGGTTTAACATTGAAATCCGTGAGTAATATAAAATAGGAGAGCAGAATAATTATATCAAATATTTTAATGGATTTTTTAAACTCCTGTCAACTATACAGAACTATCGTAAAAACATACCAGTAAATTTTTATCGGTTGGGTTAAGTTATAAATCTACTCGTTATTCACGTAATCGGCCCAATATCTAGCGGGTGGGCGGCTAACAGCCCAGAACCGGTCCCGGATAGAATTGGAAGCGTTATATGTGTAGCATAAACCCAAGGTCGTAGGCTTCCACTGGCTAAACCGGATGAGGTTGGTGCTCTGTAAAGCGCGTGAGCAAATCTGGCTTTTTGTAATCTGACAATATAGAGATTTCACTCTGCCACTAATATTCGAATGTACAATAGCAATCTTATTATTTTTTTTTCACGTGTAGTATAGAAATTTGTAATAAGATACATAATGCAGTTATAATAAAATATTGTGCGATTATTTTCGTATAATTAAAATTAATATGTACTTATTTTTTATAAAATACGAGGAAAGCTGCTCTTCCACCGCTTCTGATGATGGCACGCCACTGCATAACTAACATGTAAAATGATAAACGTGCAACGTACAATCAGGCTAGAATATGCAAAATCCAACAAGCTAGCAAAATCCCAGTCAAAACAGTGCTAGAGCCGAGTAGGATAACCCGTATTATCTAGTTAATACTAACTTTAGCACTTTATCATCTCTTAATAGAAATTTAAACAAGTCTTTTGTGAAGTCTTTCAGGCATTACGGTAAATAACTTGGAAAAAGACCGGATCATCACAACCTATCTAACATGGACCATTTCTTAAATAATTGTGAGAATACGGACGAGGGTCCAGGCCTTCTAATCGTCAGATCTGTTAGACCTGCTCACCTTGTCACTGGATGGCTTAATTTTTTAACAGAACCCGATTGGTAAGATTCTGTGTGGGGTCTGTGCATAAGTAATGAATACCAGACAAGAAGGAGATTAAATATAAAATTAACAATTTAATTATTACTAACAATACTACAATATTATGGATACAAAGGAATAACATAGTTAAAAGTAATAATAAGATGGGGAATACCTAGGTATGGATAATTCCTATCTCTATGTTATTTTAAGCTAAACCCGAGAGAGAGGGTTTTACAATAAATTTTACCTCGTTGTTCATATTGGGAACCTTTCTCTCGTTGATTTCTTCCTGGATCGTTGAACCGGGAGACAGGATAAGCTGGTGGATGAGGAGCACTCACTCTAGCAAAAATTTGAACTAACTGTGTTGGGAAATTTGAACAATGTTGGGAACAACTGCCCGTCGTATGGCAATTGGTGACGAACTGCCCCGAGAGTCCGCCTATCAGCCCTTTTATCCCCAATTATTTCATAATATTTTTTCTTAGAAATTGGTTCTGACATTTCAGCAGGTGGTGTGCAAAATTCTAAGATACGAGGCGTGGAAGAAGGAAGCAAAACATCCTCAGTTCTTGAAAAAGTGCTACGTGACAGAGCAGTTTTACAGGATGTAAAAGTTTTATAACCTTATTAGGTTATGTTTTATTAATTATTCCAAATTTTATCATATTTTTATACTTTTGAGTGAAATTAAAGTATATTATTTATTACGTTAAAAGTACAGTAGATCCCCCTATAAAAGCGTTTCCTATAGTTATGATTCCTATAAAAATTGTGGCATTATCCGTAAACAACGGTAAAAATAACTCCTATAATACGTAAAACGTCATCGGGCAGCCGAACTACTTACCCGCCGTCCGTAGCGCCACGCTACGGAGAGATTTCTATCGTCTGGACAGTATTATATAAATTATATATAAATTAGGTACTGTACATATAATTATATATTAATTATATATAAATTAGGTACTGTATATATAATTATATATTAACTTAATTTATTGTAACTTTATTATAATTAAATATATATTTTTCGCCGTCTAGCGTCACGCTACGGCGAGTTAGGCGACCTATCGTCTGTTTAGTACTGTAATTTTATACATTTCTTGTGAAAGAAACATTTCTTATTTAACGGCCATAAAAATTATTTATATTAATGATGTCTCCAAAGGTCAACGAAGTTTTCGCAGAAA